AGATGCGCAGAGACAGACTCTGTCCCTCCCCGGCACCCCCACTCCGGGTGGCAGCTGTCGCCAGCCCTGCTCGGGGCTGTCCCCAGCCCTGCTCGGGGCTGTCCCCGCTCCACCCGCACCCCCGAGGTGCTCAAAGCGGGGTGGCACCCGGCATTGCCCTCCCTGTCGTCCCCAACCCGAGCTGTCCCCAGCCCTGTCCCCTCCACCCCGCACCCCCGAGGGGGCACCCCGGCATTTCTCTCCCTGTCACCCCCAGTTCCACCCCCGGGGCCGGCACCAAGGATGATCCCGGCTTTACCCCGCGGGGAAACTGAGGCAGGGCTGGTCCTGCCCCGTGGGGACCCCACGGGCGCGCCCTCCACGAGTGACCCACCCTGGGGACATCGCTGTGCCCCAGCCGTGACAGAGCCACCCACGGAACCGTGGAGCGGTTTGGGTCGGGCCAGAGCTTAAATCCCATGCCATGGCACCCTTTCCTGACCTTCCGCATCCCGGGGAACGCGGCTCTGTCCCCGCAGCACCGTCACCTCGTGGCCCCGCTCCCCTCGGGGGCTGCAGGGCCATTTCCCCGGCTGTCCCCAGCAATTAGGGCAGATACAGAATGAAAAGTGGAGTGGCACCGGAGGAGGGATGTTGTTTCTGCCCTCCATAAATCAGCGAGCCCCCAGAGGCGCTTTACAGGGTGTTTCACTTGCTGGCCCTACAAATCCCCCGTGTGTGAGCCAGGCCCAGCTCCCGCTGCCAGGGTGAGGCTCAGCCACGCCGGTGCCACCTGCCAGCAGAGGATGTGACACAAGAGGTGTCCCCGTGTCCCTCCTGGCATCAATGAGCTCTGATCCACAGCAGCATCCTGCCCTGTGTGCTCCCGCCCTTCCCTAAATTCCCAAATAATTCCTTACCTCAATCTCACCCTGCTGCTTGTCCCTGTGGGTGTCACACTCCTTTTCCTCTCCTTCTCTCTTTTATTTAATATGTAGAAATAGATGAATCTTGCTGAGTGTTCCAAAGTTTCTCCCTGAAGGGGATGGAGCGCCAGAGAGCCCATAAATCTGCCTGGAAATATCCCAGATCCTGGGGGGTTTGCAGGGAATGCACCCTGGACATTTTCTTTCTTAACCCAGGTGTTCCCACAGACATTTGGGGCTCTTCTTGTAACCCCCACAGCTTCTCCTGCTCTCTTTCCACTCAAAACTTCCATTTCTCCCTCAGAAATTTGAATTTCCCAGCTCAGCACTGAGGGAAGGTGCTGATCCAAAGCAGGCAGAATTTTATAAAATCTCCATCAGGGATGCCTTCAGGGAGATTTTCACCAAAAAAGTGGCCCAGAGCCTGCTCAGGTGCTCCTGGTAGGGAATAACTTCAAAATTTACCAGAATTCCCCACACTCTAAAACCTCAAGAAGTTGAAGGATGAAACAACCCAAAGATAATTCTCATTTTTCATCAGAAACCTTCTCCAAAAGCCTGGATTTTTGGATGAGGGGCACTGGGAAGCCTCCATCCCTCAAAGCCCAGCCCAGGCCCCACAGGCCTCACATCCCAGTTCTCTTTCCACTCAAAATGAATTTCCCAGCTCAGCACTGAAGGAAGGTGCTGATCCAAAGCAGGCAGGGTTTTATCACCTCAGGGATAAAATCTCCATCAGGGATGCCTTCAGGGAGATCATTTTCACCAAAAAAGTGCCCCAGAGCCTGCTCAGGCCCTCCTGGTAGGGAAACCTGCCAGAATTCTCTACACTGTAAAACCCCAAGAAGTTGCAGGATGAAACCCAAAGACAATTCTCATGTTTCATCAGAAACCTTCTCCAAAAGCCTGGATTTTTGGATGAGGGGCACTGGGAAGCCTCCATCCCTCAAAGCCCAGCCCAGGCCCCACAGGCCTCACATCCCAGGTTTTGCCACTCAAAACTTCCCCTGAAGAAGTTCCAGGATGAAGTGACCTGAAGAAAACCCACATCATCCAATTTTCTTACCAAAAAACCTCCCCAAAACCCCCAAATTTTTGGATGAGGGGCACTGGGAAGCCTCCATCCCTCAAAGCCCAGCCCAGGCCTCACAGATCCTCACAGAGGAGCTCCATGATTCCATTTCTGTTGTTGTTATAAACTCCAGCAATCAGCTAAAAATATTTCAGTGCCCTGGCAGCTGATATTTTTTTTTTATCATGCTGTTTTAATAATTAATTTTTATTGTATTCCTCGAGCACTGCTGGAGTGGAAATCCCAGGAACAAGCTCAGCTCGAGGTGGAAGGAACCAGCTGGGACTCCCTGCTCCACAATCTCATCAGGGAGGAATTCTTTCTGCTGGATTTTGACAATTTTCTGTGTTTGAGTTGTCTCCTTTTAGCCCCACCCCTCCATCTGCTTTCAGGGCTGGGATGTGAGGAGAAAAATGGATTTCACAGCTTTTTTTTTTGATGTTTTTGCCCCAATCTGGCGTGGTGTGAGTGGAATTGCTTGGCCTTGAGGGGTTTTTTGGTGGAGGTGAGATGTGAGGAGCTGGCTCTGCTTGTGGAGGTTTCATGGGATTCAGAAGGACAAGGATTTTCCAAAAGGCAGGAAAAGAAGAAAATCACCTTTTTAGGGCCAATGTGCAAGGAGCAGCACATTCCCACAGGGAATTGCTGAACCTCAAGCTGATGAAAGGAGAAACAGGCAAAAAATCCTGGGACGTTTCTGTGGGAAAACCGAGGCAAATTCCTCGGCAAATCAGCGCCCAAAACAAATAAACAGCAGCTCCCAAAAATACACAAAACACCGGGGTTTGTCCCGGCTCTTCCTTGTGAACCTGGGGCTGGGGAAAACTTCCGGGAATGTGTTTGGAGGTGGCTTAGTCTGCCTCTGGAAAATCAAAACATCTTGGAAAAACCGCAGGGAATTCAGGCAGGGTTTGCTTCCTCGCACTTCTGTGGGATTTTGGGTGGGAATTCCAAGGGTTTTTTTGGAGGGAGTGGGGGATAAGTGGAGAGGGGAGAAGGGAAGAAGGGAAGGGAGGGCCTGGCACTGCCCACATGTCAGGGCAGGAACCCCTCAGGGCTCGGAGCCAAATATTTGCCTTGGAAGCAAATAAAGGCGAGGAAAACCCAGATTTCCATCATCCCCATTCCTGATTTCCAACCTCCTCATCCCTGCTTCCTTCCCTGCTCCATCTCTTTAAACTCCAAAATGTTTTAATGTGATTTTTTCCCCCTTTCCGTGTTTCTCTTTCAAGTTGAATCCCTCCTGGTGGCTTCCTGCTGCTGCCAAATTCCTTTTGTGTGCTGTTAGAAACCCTCTGGATGTCACTCCGGAGCAGCTGGAACAAGCTGCCCCTGGGATGCTGCGTGTCTGCCTGGATAATGAGTCCCAAATTAGTAAATCTGTTCATTAGAGAGGGGCTGAGGGCTGGGAGCAGCCCCACATTCCTGGATTTCACCTCAGCCACTGCAGCATCCAAGGGAGGTCACTCTGGCCCTCTCCTGAGGGACAGGAAAACTGGGGCCTTTCCCAAAAAAAAAATAAAAATCAAGGAACTCACAGGGATCTGTCACATCCTGGGGGAAAGAAATTGAGAATTCAGCGTTCTCCTCCCCAGATCGGGCTGGCAGCCTTGAATTGGGTTAAAAACTGAGTTAAAATGGGGTTAAAAATTCCCAGCTGATCTCTTGGAATGGCAGATCTGGAGGCGCTGGGATCCAGGCCTTGCTCCAGAGGCAGGAAAAGCTGGGAATTGTGCTGAATGTGCCCAAATTCCCGCGACTCCAGGAGAAATCTCCAAACCACGGCGGGTTCTGAGCTGTAATGACAGGGTGGGAGGAATTCAGCCTGGAATGGGATGAAGGGCTGGGGTCACCCGGGGATTTTTGGGATTTTTGGCCCCAAATCCTGGGGATCAGAGCCCCCCACGCCCCTACAGGTGTTTTAGGGCTGGGTCTAGTGGCCCTGGACCTCCTGCAGGGTTTAACTTAACCCCAGCTCAGGGCCCAAAGCACCCAGTGACCCACAAGGACTCTTTGAACCACAATCAAAAGAGGAAAAAGGGAAAGAAGCAGAAGGAAAACCCAGCGTGAACTTGAGGGCAAACGATCCCCCAGGATGAAATCGCATCCTCAAAAACGCCTGGGGGCTGCTGGAATTCCTCCTGCTGGAATTCTATGTGGCCACAGAGCCTCCCTAATGTGGATTGATGGCCTCAGTCTGCTCTCTGTGCAGGGAAAGGACAATCCCTGGCCCCTGATATCCATTTTTCCTCCCAGAAATCCCAACCTAAGTGGATTTTCCTGTGCCACTTCCAGGGGAAAACGTCTCCATCCATCCCCCCCGACAGGCAGCAGCAGAGGGAAGCGCTCCCACCTGATTCCTCCCGCTCCTGGATTGATTACCAGCACGCCAGGATTAATTGGGGAAAGTGAAAATGCTTCTCTGGGCGATCAATCTTCCCCCGGTTCCCTCACCTTGTCATCCGCTAATAACTGGGAAATCAAAATTCCCCTCCTGGCTGCCTCGTGCCGGCAAATGGATTTCTCTGCTGCATTGCTGGGAATCCTTAAAAGGCATTTTGGGAGCAGCGAGGAGACAAATGGGATTAGCTGGGCAGGGAAAGTGCAGCCACAGCATTTCTGCATTGCCAGCAAGGGAGAAATTCAGCTCCTGCAGGCTCAGGGGATGAGAGGGAGCCTGATGGAGCGGGATTTGGGGTGGGAATCGTGGATGCATCGGTGGGGCTGAGGAATATTTGGAATGAAACACATAAAGCCTTTCCTGGTTTAAATTCCAGAGGAATTCCCGTGTTGGGTGTAAGGGGCACTGGGGATTTTGTCCAGATGGAATTGGATGTCCCTCCTCATCCCAACACAGAATTCCCTGGATTTGACGTGGCAGTCATGGATGCAGAGATGAAGAATATTTGGAGTCAAACCCCGAAAACTTCTCCTGCTTTAAATTCCAGAGAATTTCTGAGCCCACGTTCTGTGGAAGGAGTGCTGGGAATTTTGTCCAGCTGAAACTGGGCATCCCCAGTGGCTGCTCTCATCCCACCCTGGGTTGTCCCAGGATTTGATGTGGGAGCCATGGCTGCAGGGATGAAGAATATTTAGAATCAAACACCAAAAACCTTTCCTGTGTTAAATTCCAGAATTCCCTGGCTTGTCCCAGTGTGTTCCCAGCTGTTTGGGTTTGGGTTTCCCAGCTGGCCACGCCGTGCCAAGGACATTTGGGGGTGTCACCATCTCTGGGATGCCTGGAACGTCAAATTCGGCTCCAGTTTATCCCAAGGAGCCGAGAACCTGGGCCTGTTCTTCCATGGAATCTTGTCCCAGAGAAATGGGGAGCCCTGGAATGGTTTGTGTGGGAAGGGACCTAAAAGCTGATCCCATCCCACCTCCTGCATTCCAGGGACACCTTCCACCAGCCCAGCTTGCTCCAGCCCAGCCTTGGACAATTCCAGGGATGAATGCGCAGCTCCTCCTGGCAAATCCCATTTGTTTCCTTCTGCCACGAGCTGTAAACCCACG